GTTTACTGTTATTTAGTTTGGTTCAAAACCTACAAAATCTTCATTGCTTTCACTGTAATTTATATTTTTATTATTTAGGGAGCATTATAAATAGTTATATTTTTAAAAGAAAAAAAAACTACTATTGTTATAAATAACACACACATTCAATTGAACTAAACTATGCATGCCTATCTAAATATATTTACACATGGCTTGTGTATATCGTATATACACATATATATTATTCATACCTTCGGTGTATAAGACGCAAGCAGATTTTGACATCAAATTTTTGGGGTAAAAAAGTGCGTCTTATACACCGAAAAATACGGTAATACAGGAATAGAAAAAATGATCCTTTTTTAGAAAGGAGGAAATCATTAGAAACTGCAATGATAAAGAAGGAGGAAAAAAGGTTGTAGAAAATCATATTTTACATATGAAGTAAATGTAATTTATTCAACATATTGTCAAGAAAGTGAGATTTGATGAGCCAACAACTACTTCCAAAAAGATGGAGAGATCAGTTACTTTAATTAACTCTTGTCATACCTATGTTATGTCATTTAGGCATAAAAAAAGAATAAGTAGAATATGATTCAACATTTCTTTTGGCACCTTTGGTGAACGTCCCTTTGATGGGAAAACCATTCCAAAGAATTGTAATCTATTTCACTGGACCTCTTCCTCGTACTTCACAAGGTAACAAGTATGTTTCAGCCATCTGTGACTATGTCAATATATATTTTCAGGTAGTTACTTTGAAAATCCAAGGAAAAGATGGTGGCACAAGCTTTGATTGAGGTACTTTCTAGACTTAGTATTTCCAGGGAAATCTTATATCAAGCAACTAATTTCTTGTCACCTTTAATGAAGGAGCTCTGCCATCTTATGTAGATTCATAAATTTGTGTCAACTCTCTGCCACCCAAAAACTAATGAGTTCAAAAAGACATTTATATGCGTGTTCATAGTTATATCAAAGACAAGCCTAAGGGTTAGAACAAGCACCTATCTTATATGTTACTCGCATATAGGGAAGTGCCCCACGAGACAACTGGCTTTTCACCCTTTGATTTAAAGTATAAGTGGCACATTAGGGGTTCACTCTGCGTGGCGAAGAAAAGTGTGGAAGAGCCTAATGAAGAGAAAGCATTAGCAATAATATTTTTTTTCAAGAGAAACACATACGGAAGAATAAAATATGTAGAAAATATATTACGATAAGAAAGATAGAAACTGTAATTTGCAAGTTCCACAAAAAGTTTTAGGACTTTTGCCTACTAGCTCTAATAAATTGTTGACAACGTGGAAGGACCTTAAAATGTTGTTGCAGAAACTAATCTAGACTAAAATGTGTAAGTAAGAAATTCGGAGAATATTCTTCACATTAATATGTTAAAGCCATGATTGGAAAGATATCATATCCATGGAGACAGAATACATGCAAATGAGATAGTAAACCCACCTTCAGGTAGAAAATAAAATGTTGATGGTTCTCATATGAACATAGATTTTTCAGGTACCAAACACAAGAGCTTGGGAGGTGTGTACTTTTCACTCAAGTGTCTTGATTTAAATACCAAGTCATATTACAATAATAATCTGTACTGTTAAGCCTACACCTGCTCCATTATGGTAGGAGCCATATCTAGTTTCTTATAGTATCAGGGATCAGATTTTGAAGGAAGAGTTCATGGAGGCTGGTATAATGAAGCCATCAAGTCCATGGGCAGTACTCATTACGGTTGTCAAGAAAACGATACATTTCAATCAGACTCTGTTTGAATTATTGAATGTAAACTTTGGTTAGTGTTTTGGATCCTAACCGAATGCCTAGAATTGATAACCTTATAAATGACCTCGAGGACGCTCGATAGTTTAGTAAGTTAGATCTTACAAAAGGGCACTACCAGACACATTTATATAGTGACGCAAAAGAGAAAAGCCTTTTTGTCATTAATACAGGTCACCATCAGTTTACAGTTGTGCACTTTGATATGAGAAATACACCTACCATTTTTGTTAAACTGACGTCTAAAGTTCATAAAGGGATGAAAGCTTTTACAGTTACATCTATGATATTGTCATCTTTAGTGGTATTTGGAAGAAATGTTTGGCACATATAGAACGTCTTTTTAAAGCAGGACTAACTGCAAGGCCAACTAAGTGTTACTTTAGATACAGATAGTTCAAACGTTTTGTACTAGATTGTAGATATTGGGTAGTGTCAATCTACTAAGAAGAAGAAAAAATCCGCTGAGAAAGAGGTTAAAACGTTTTGTGGAACAACTGGATTCTATACAAAATTTATCCCTCATTTTTTGATGTTGTGGCACCAATCATAGATCTTGTAGAAAAAAGGTATTCCTATCAAGGTAGTATGGCAAGATGTCTATCTGAAAGTTTGAGGATCTGATGAGAATTGTATTGTTAATGATACTGTCATGTAGACTCCTGCTTTTACTAAAGTATATATTCTGCATACTGACACATTTGGAAAATTTATTGTAAGTGTTCTCCTTTAAGAGAGATAGGATGGTTGTTATCGTATAATTTATTTAAATAAAACCCTAGCACCTGGGGAGCAAGCTCGAGAAAAAAGGCTTATGCAATTGTAGGGGAAATTAATGATAGCTTCTAATTGGCATGGATCACAATCTGTTGAAGTGGTTACAGAAAATGAAAATTCACAACAAACGCCTTCTATGGTGGAATTCAAATTCAATATCCATTAGATACCAGGAAAGGAAAAAAATTGTTTTAGATATATTAAGGTAGGCACAAAGAATAACGTTAGTTTGATGTTCCATATCTCAGTTTATGTATATGGTCAGACTTCTAGAAGGGGC